GTCACCAACAAATACTCGTGCTTTTATTAAAAAAAACAAAAAAAAAAAAAAAAAAAAAAAACCACAAAAGAAACAAACCCAAACAGCAAAACCCAAACTCAGAGTCTCCGGGAGTCAGACTCTGCTATTGTTCTTCCATTTCTGACACAAGTCAGAAGACACCAGACAATACAGATTACTGAGTCACCACCAGCTAAACTGTATTTTTTTAAACAGCTCTCCCATCTGACCCTTCCAAGTTAGCAGAAAGAATATAAGAACAGRAAAGGGATCAGTGTTGAAAAAATCAAGTGTTTTTATGTAGCCAGATATGCKGTGGGGCTGGGAAAGAAGGGAATCAGATGGACATTTCAGCTGGGGCTGATTTGGATGGGTTCATTCTGTGACATTCTAGGACAGAAGGGTCACTCAGGGCTACAGGATGTAAGCAGAAAAGGGGGAGTTAGAGTGAAAAGGCACTAGATAAAGGAAATACCTACATTCTAGCATATAGAATACTTAATCCTAACATAAGGATAAGCAGGGCTTCAGCAGTTAACAGGSAYRTTGGACTGGRAAATTKATTCAGGAYAAGGGGTTCAGCAGSAARTCTGCTTCTTTCAGCACTTTTTCTTTAAATATCCTAGAATTCATCAAACAGAAGATAGATTACACTTTATAATATAAGCCTCCTGAGGGGATGCTGCTAAAACACTGTCAGCAGAAAGAAAAAAAAAGCGTTTAAAGTGTGCATGTAGGGTTAGGGACTCCACATTTCAACTCATCTGCAGCTGGAGATGAGATGTATTTGCATTTGTTCCCCTGGCTGAAGACATAAGACATAATTACAAAAGCATAAGACATAAGACATAATTACAAAAGCAATTTCAAAATGGTTCTAGCTTATTTTTTTTTAACATGTAACCCACGTAGAATTAAAAATTATATAAAAATATATATGCATTCAAAAATTTTACATAGTTACATATCAAACAATTTTGYCTATGTCCAGTAGGATCTGAAGAGAGAATACTTCCAGTTTCAAYTGTGTTTGTCTCAGACTTTCAAATAAAGACCAGAATTTACCTGATTACTGTAGTGCYGATGGGTTTTCTGCTCAGAAACCCTTTTGCATAAAGCATTGTGTATAGAAACAGAAAAAAAAAATGACCCCTGGCCCAGAAAGCTTACTTGTCATGGTTTCAGCATCCCTCTACTCTACAAATGAGAGGCTTTTGTTAATGATCACTGTCATTTTCCTGACATTTAATTGAATAGACTTTCTTCGGAGAAATTAAGACAAACGGTAGAAACCATGTTCTTAAGTCCCTCTGTCACAGGGATCTAAGAACATGATCACAATTTCCAACTGCAGTGTGTTAGTGACTCAGCTGGGATGAGGCCAGCAACCCCCAGGAGGAGGGAACAGCTAAATTTGCAAAGCTTTTCTGTGTGTCCACAATACCCATTTCCTACATTTGTTCCTTGTGATCATTTGATGAGTTATTATAATTTTTTTGCTATTTGCAAGATCTTTCAACTGTGTTTCCATATGTTACTGTCCTGCCTTGAGGAATCATAAATAGGATRGAAGTTACACACTCAGATGCTTCCAAAACTGGGCCATAGTCTCAAGTGTAATAACCCCAAAGCCAAGATGAAGTTTGACTAAGATTTGCTTCCAGACTAAACAAGACTAGGTTTCACTCAAATTTTCTGGGAAAAGACTTTCTTAGGACAAGTGCATATTTAAAATGAAATTCAGAAACCCCACAAAAATAGAAGAAAAATCAATGCTTTGGATGTGGTAGTTGTTTTTTTTTTTTCCTTTTAAAAAGAATATGCCATCTTTGTTGTCATAATAAAGGTATCTTTTATTGTTTTTACAGCTGCAAGAGACAAAAATAAATTACATTCAAAACCAAGCTCTCATTAGAAAACCACCTCACTGGCTGCATGGAGGAAAGTAAAGATTTTTACAGATAATTGTTTTTGTTTATCTCTGCTACCAATGTATGCTGAAAGTGTACCTCTGTAAAACTACAAGCTTTAAAAAAATGGGTGGACAAAATATAATCAACTAGTACCTCCATAAGATTATAGAGCAGAAAAATATTCCTCACTTATGATCCAAATACATTCAAGGATGGAAAAAATGCTTTGTGGAAAACTATCCTACTGGAATTTAAGTGTTCTGCAATGTGTGGAAAACAAACATATTTTAATGGATTGCTGCTTTCAGTGGCTGAATTTACTTCCAAGAAGGTCATAACCATAAAGCAGAAAACTAATTCTTCCTTCAGTGCAGTGGCAAAAGTGGAACAGAAAACAGGGCACCAAAGTGTTATCTTTGACCTCTTAGACAAAGTGGCAGAAGGCTGTTGGGGTTTTTGTTTGTTTTGTGGCATGCGTTTTGAAGTTTTTTTAAGGTTTATTTTTTAAAAAAACCTGYATTTTTCTCTCTTCTGTTAGTTTACAGTCAACTAATTATCTGTAAAACATTTAAACAAAACCAATTATGTCAGTAATGCATTACTCCTAATTTCTTCAGTGTTTCCATCCTTCTTTGGCAATCGGGGAAAAATATGTGCCTACCTACTTCATTTTCATGTCTCAAGTTCCTGACTGCTCTCTTAATTTCTTTACTAAAGGCCTTAAAAGAAGCATAGCAGTATGCAGGTCAGGAATGTAAAATATGATCCTATTCTCTGCCCCCATCCTCCTCAGTGTCAACCTAAACAGCTTTCCCTTTCCTTCTGACATTTCCTGCCGGTGGAGCTGGTAAGGGAAAGGAACTTTCTCATGGATCAGAAACCTAAGCCAAAAGGAACTTTCTCATGGATCAGAAACCTAAGCCAAAAGGAACTTTCTCATGGATCAGAAACCTAAGCCAATCCATTTCAGATCATTTGTTGCCAAATCTGAGTGAGGATTGATGCTCTGGGCAACAAGAACCAAAGTAGGATGCAATACAAAAACTGCTCTCAAAATCCAGCTTCCTTATGCCCATTCCTTGCAGACTCYTAAACAATCATTTGTAAATCTCCTTGTTTGGGCTGGTTTGTTATTCTGCCACAGAACTCTTCCTGTCCCTAACCAGGCACCCAGTGATATGTTTAAATGTCTTCTAGCCTACACTATTGTTACACCACCTTCTGAAAGCTGACAGCACAGGCAGAAAGATGTCCTTCGGGACTACCTGGGATTGCTTCACAGAGTTTGGAATTTCCCAAGCCTCTGGATGCCTGCYGATGGCTCTGAAGTTCTCTTCCTYRATGKTGTGCTGGTTTTGGCTGGGGCAGAGTTAATTCTCTCCACAGCAGCCCACAGTATGGGGCTGTGTTTCGGGTTTGTGCTGGAAACAGGGCTGACAATGAGGATACATTTTCCCTATTGCTGGGCAGCATTTGCACAGTCAAGGCCTTTTCTGCTCCTCACCCCAACCCAGCAGTGAGGRCTGGGGGTGCACAAGGAGGTGGGAGGGGACACAGCCAGGACAGCTGACCCCAAGTGACCACAGGGACATCCCACAGCTCAGGGTGTCATGCTCAGCCTGCAGAGCTGGGGGAAGAGGGAAGAAGAGGCCATTCAGAGATGTTCATAGTTTGTCCTCCCAAGTCACCCTCACACGTGATGAAACCCAGCTTTCCTGAGGGTGGCTGGACACCTGCCTGCCCGTGGAAAGTGGTGAATTAATTTCTTGTTTTTCTTTACCTGTTAAATTCTACTTATCTCAACCCATGAGTTTTCTCACTTTCACCCTTCAGACTCCGCTTCCCCRTCCCACTGGGGTGAGTGAACCAGTGGCTGCCTGGGGTTCAACCGAGGCAATGGGGCCTATAAAACAGATGCCAGCTTTGGAACGTTCACAATAATAGATTAAATGCCAAAGAATTTGCTAAGGCTGTGAGAAAAGAGGATGCTGAACCTGGTGTTCCATCATTCCCACATTTTATTACTCATACAAAACTATGTGAACAGTTGCCCCATGCGTTAAAGATTCACAGATGATGTTAAAAGAAATTAAATAAAAAAAAAAATCTCACTGAACAAACAATCCCAACTGAAATTTGATCATTTTAAAATGGAAAGATTTAGCTTAAAAGGATAAAGCACAGGTAGAATTGAATCTTCAAATTTTCAGGGAGAGTACCAACCAAGTTCTCAGAACTGCATCACTGTGTCAGAATATCTAGTGATAGTTTCAATCAGGGAGGTTTTCGGTTTCTCAGCAAAACTTTTGGCTGTCGGTAGATGGTGGTATAGCCCTTCCAGCCACTCGAGGGACTGACCTGCTCCCAGAACTGAAGTGAATTTCACGCAGTAGTACAATCAGTGCCACTTCACCACTTAAGGTTGAAAGCTGGAGGGGAGTACTAAAAAAAAAAAAAATTAAATAGACCCAACCAACCGACAACAACAAAAATCTATGCTGAAGTTGTAAATTAAACACCTACATAAGCCTGTAGTTCAGGTGACATTTAAAGTTCTCACTTCATGCACGGGTATCATCATACCACACACTGAACAAAGGAAAACAGTAAATATACAAGAGATGTACAAAATGATCGCATTATCATATCTATTAAAAAAATACAAATAAAGAACTGCACAAATATTTAGCCCTTTCTACAGCCTATTCTAAAATCCTGTGATTATCTGATTAAACACTTGAAGAAAACAGCAAGTATTGATATTATTCTAAGGCATGAGTTCTGGCTATAAAAGCTGAACACAGGGGTAAGAGGGGTTATTTACATCCACACTGTGCAATCAGCAAGAATTCTGCTCAGAGCCCGAAGGGTGCACCAAGAAGCCCCAGGTGCCCTGAGCAGCCTGTCCCCRTCCCTCTTGGCCACCCCTGTGCCTGGGGCCCAGGATGTCACCCCCTGCCAGCCCCATGCCCTGAGCCCCCTTGCTGGGCAGGGGACGCAGAGTGTCCGACTCACAGTCACATTCCCAGTCCTGCAGGGCCCCGGCTCCTGTGTGACACTCAAACCCACGGTGCTGCCGGCCACACCCTGCACCCGGCTCGTCACCCTGTCCCCTGTGGTGCTGGCAGTGGCCCCTGCTGGGGACCAGCCCACCCACAGCTCCATGGTGGGAAGGGCACACCTGCCTGTTGAGGGTGCCCGTTCCTGCGGCTCAAGCTGCTCCCTGACACAAGTGCAGCAAAGAGCTCTTCGCTCCTTAGGTCACATCCAGGGACCCACAGCACCTGGCACTGAACACACAGTGCTTCCTGCCAGCCCTGTTCRTCCCTTGAATAAAGGCTAACACAGAAACTGATTCCACTGCATGAATAAGGCATCATCCACTAATCCATGAATTTAAAGGACTTTCTTAAAGATTTTACGCAACTGCCATTCTTTTGTGGAAATCTGTTTTGGATAATTTGCACACAGCTGTAACTGACAAGTCAAGTCCAGAAGAGTTTGTTTTGCTTTACAGTTAAGGCAATCTAAATCTGAAAATATCTCACCTCAACCAGCAGATCTCTCAAAGCCRTGGTACTTTAGAGGACATGAGAAAAATCTCTTCAGATTAAACTGTACTCGAACTGTAGATCCATGATGCAAGAAATACTTAAGACACACACATGCARTCAAAGAGCTATATGTTAGTTTTATTTGTAAAATACTTTATTCCTAACAGCAAAATACTTATATTTACTTTATAAAAGTTAGCAAAATTCAATACATTTGAAACAGAAACAAGAAAACTATCTCTACTTCAATTATTCAATTCTCTTTTCAATAAGGAAGCTATAGGTATGCACCACACTTAAAAAATTTCAGTGCCAGACATGTAATTCAATAAATATATCCTTCTACCAATAATTAATAAAACTACTGAAAAAATATAAGCATTTTTGGCTTCTTCTGAGGTTTGAAACTAGTAATATCTATATACACAACAAACTTCTTGGCATTTACAACAAGGACTGTATAGAACAGTAACAGAAGATTGTTACTAGGACACCACAACAACCAATTTTGCAGTACATCATTTCTAGCAAGAAAAGAAAATCAGAAATTCAGTCCGTTTCTTAAATCCTACAAAGGACTTCTGCAAGGAGGTGGCAGGAGGAACTTAAATTACTAAYTAATTTCATACTTGATAAGGCCATTGCATAACCTAACCTGCAATTTAAAAGCTGGTCCTATATATAATACAGACTGCCTGTTTGTTAGACTTCAACAGAAGTTGAAGTGAGAATGAGTAAGTTCACTTCATCCTATTGCTAACAAATAAACTATGAAACCTTTGCCGTGGAGAGGAGAGATAYAGGTCTAGTTCTGCTGTGTACAGGGGCATTATTTTGGAAGCCAGTTTCCACAGCTTTCAGAGGTAAAATCCATTCCCTGTGCCAGTCTTTCAAGCAGTTTCCTTCTGTGAAGCAGTTGGACCTCCAAGACTGCACTCAGACCCAACAGAAGTGGCAAGGCAAGCACACACACCAGTCAGCCAGCACAGACACTGGGAGAACTGTGTGACTGATGCTGAAAAACATGAACAGAAAGGCTTATCCAACCGTATGGAATTGATAATCAAGGCTAATGGCTGGACTCTGCACCTGAACAGGGCAACCCTGGCTGTGTGCACAGACTGGGGAAGGACAGGCTGGAGAGCAGCACCATGGAAAGGGACCTGGGKGTCCTGRTYAATGGCAGTTGAACATGAACCAGCAGTGCCCTGGCAGCCAGGAGGGTCAGCTGTGTCCTGGGGGCATCAGGCACAGCATTGCCAGCCAGGCAAGGGAGRGGAYTGTCCTGCTCTGCTGCACTGGGCTGGCCTCACCTTGACTCCTGTGGGCAGTGCCAMCATACAAGAAAAGACATTGAGCTGTTAGAGAGTGTCCAGAGGATGGCCATGAGGATGGTGAGRGGTCTGGAGGGGAAGCCATACGAGGTCACTTGGTTTGTTCAGCCTGAAGAAGAGGGGACTGAGGGGAGACTTCATTGTGGTCTTCAGCATCCTCACAAGGGGAAGTGGAAGGGCAGTTACCAATCTCTTCACTCTCATGACCTGAGGGAACGGCCTGAAGATGTGTCAGGGCAGGTTTATGTTGGATCTCAGGAGKTTTTTCACCCAGAGGGTGGCTGGGCACTGGAACAGGCTCCCCAGGGCAGTGGTCACAGCGYGAGCCTGACAGAGTTCAAGAAGCGTTTGAACAATGTTCTCAGGCACATGGTGTCATTTTTGGGGATGGTCCTGCGCAGAATCAGGAGYTGGACTCAATGATCCTGATGTGTCCCTTCCAACTCAGCATATTTTATGGTTCTATGATTACTTCCTCTTTTGAAAACAAATGAACAAAAAACCCCAAATAACAAAGAACCTACCCAACAAAAAACCCCATTAACTTTTGTACAGTTACTGCTCTTGAACTTTAACTTAAAAATGAAACTGAGCAAGATGTGAAATTAATCTACATGGTAATTAATTTAAGAATTCAAAATCCAAGTGATTTTCAAAATTAGTTTGTTAAAATTAGTTAGTTCATTTGTTTTTTTAAATATATAACTTAGTGTACTAACTAATMTTAGTCTTGTGTGGACAGAAAAGAAAGGCAAGGGCATGAACATTTATTATTGACAGAGAAGTGCTTTTCTGGACCTCATATGCACCTGCAACAAGGGATTTGCTGAAAGTGTGAAGCTTTAGCTGCAGTATCCACGAGATGGCGTAGTTCAGGATCCTGAAGAAGTATTTTCCTTAAATTTCATTAAGAAAAAAACAGAACCAACCATTGGACTGTTTGTTTTGGATTTTTTTTGTCCTTTTCGTAGAGCTMAATCAGAGCAAAGTAGTATTACCAGGTGTGCTTACATTGTTGTCTGCCACTTATCCTACAAAAAAGACTTCTATAGGGGGCAAAAATGTGACAGATCATAGAATCATTAAGGTTGGAAAAGACCTCTAAGATCATCAAGTCCAGAYACTACAAATCAACCAAATGCAATTAAAAATATTTTTTCCTTTCTSTTATTTTTGCTGAAGATATCCAATTGTCATAGCAAATTTCATTCCTCACACATAATGAGATAATTTAGCTGGCTATGATTCATCCTCCAAGGAGGACAACTCTTTCCTTATTTCCATCTGCTTCTGCTGAACTGATGCACRGTGCATCTTTTCTAATCAGATTAGTCTTTCAGATTCAATGAATCATAAGAAGAAGATGCTTTTAGGAGAGAGCACATTGCAAATGCTGCAGAGACCAGCAAAAGTAATTTCTGAGGAGCAAAAACACTACTTATRCAAAGAGTCAGGGCTCCCAAGTCTTCTGCTAACTTTGGTCTCATGACATGATCTGTTTAGTGCTGCTGACCACTCCATTGAATGGGACAACTCGATGTTATAGGTTTCTACATGGGATTAATAAAAACCTGTTAAATTTAGATTTGAGACAGATTGTCAGAGTGCTTCAATCCGTGAGATGAGAGCATTACTTTCCATTGGCTTTACGGAAGGGGGACTCTTTGGGGCACCGTGCGCTCGCCGGCGGCGCTGCCAGGCCTCTCTGGCGSATTCCAGCCGTGGCTTTCTTAAGCTCATGCCGGAGACTGCGGATGGTGCTGTTTATGGCAGCCACRCATGCCTTCCAATCAAATCCACTTTCACTTAGATCAAAGGATGGAAAATTCTCTTGAAGAAAGTCTAAAAATAAACAAGCATGTAATAGTGAGTTATCAATTATTTATGCAAGCTATACACTCTTTCTGGATGTAATTAAGCTAAAACAAGTGCATGCTACCAAACCAGGACAGCTAGGCATATTACAAGCCTTGAAAAGCAAAGCAGGACAGATACTGTTTCCCTGCTTTCTGTTAGATTCAAAAATGCGTAATAAAAGGTGTAAGCATACAACAAAAAAAATGAAAAGAAAACATGACCATGTATGTGGTCTTGATCATTAAATGAATAACTTCAGCTTCTAATGTGGTCAACTAGAGAAAAGAAATCTTGGTATCCATTTCAGAATGATGAGTATTAGGCAGGACCAAGCTCTCCTTCAGAGGATSTCTTAAAATCATAGTCACTAAAATTAAACACAGCAATTCAGCATAACACARTTGTACAGGAATAAGAGTGACAGAAAAACTGCAGGAGCTCATTYCCTGCCATACTGCAAGTAAGATCAGTAAACAAATACTTGAGTTTGGTAGCAATAAAAAGGGTAGGACTATGGTACCTTTCTYCCATGAGTAAAATGAGTAGTTTAAAACCAAAATTAAAATAATTTTTTAAGTTATGGAGAAGTGATTGTCCTTCTGAGCTGAGCTAAATTACATGTTTTCTCTAAGAAGACTCTAAAAGACTTAAATAAACACTGAAAAGGAATTCTCATCTGTAATTTCAAATCAAAGGCAACATTGCCTCTCCTCTGATTAAAATCTAGATTTACACTCAAATTAGAAGGAAGGGTATAGCTAGTAGATATTGTGTCAGCTTTGTTCTTCCATATACCAGCAAGTAAAAATCTAATTGAGTATTATTGCTTACAGTTAATATTTTAACTTGTAGTTACAAACCTGGAAACCCATCTTGCCAGAAAAACTTGAGTCTGAAGGAATAATGGAGATAAAAACTTGTGCTCTTGCACTTCACTCTGCTCCAGAGAGGTGAAGGGGAGAGTTAGTGCCTTAGGATGCTCCTGCTATAAACAATGCTGACAAAGGATAAACAAGCTGTTAGCTGAAGCAGCAGCCAAGCTCTCTTTACCTCCATCCCCAACAGTAAATTCAACAATACTTGGCCGCAGAGGAACAGCACAGAACAGGAATTCCTAGGAATTCCTAAGAAGACAAGGCCTACAGAGCTTTTGTACATGGTCCACAAAACACCTTTTAAAGTCTCTTCTTTCACCAAAAGTGACCAGTTTCTGGAATTACAGTAAGGCTGTGTGGGGCCCTTTCCTGCTCTGCAGTGTAACACTCAGGGAGCTGGTGCTGCCATCCAATCAGGCTATGTTAAAGGAAATAGGGCCAGGGACAGTCCACTGGTCCCAGAGCCAAAGGACATGGCCTGGCTGCAATCATAAGACACAGGACTYGGTCTCTCATCTGCTCTGTGGCCTACATGGTGCTCCTGTAGCCCTAAGACCAACTTTAATAGATTTTTTGAATGCTTCTTAAGCTCAAAATGTCAAGAAATAAAATGTGTCTCTATATGGAAATATCTGGAGACAAACATGGCAAAGTTTCCCCAGCTAGTCCTTGCCGTGCTGGGAATGGTTTCTGGCATGTTTTGTCCCTCAAGCTATGCCCAGACACCACCCTGGAGGGTGTGAGTCACAGCTCCATTTTATTTAGCATTAATGCTGTACCCTCAGATCCAGTCCTTTTTCCCCAATTCTCTCCCCCATTCCATTGGGTGGGGCAGGGGAACAGGACAGGAAGGAAGGTGAGCAAGCAGCTGTGTGGCGTTTCATTACCTGATTGGATTAAACCACAACAGTTGCTAAATTCCACTTCATAAGCTCTCCTTGTTTCCAATCTCTAAATATGTCTTTTTTTGCTCCAGAGCTGTTATGAATTCCCTACTTAGCCCACCTTGCGTCCCCATTACTCCCTCAGTTCTCCYAAGTGTCAAGATGGACTCTCGTGTGCTTGCAGAAGGCTGTTCTTAAAGAGCTGTCAATTTTCCTGAACTTGTCCCCTATTCAGAGCTGTCCCTCACAAGCTCCCACCTGTGACTTTCCCAAATATATCAAAGTCTGCTCTCCCAAGCTACAAAGCCTGTACTCAGACCCTTCTAGCTCTACTCAGGATCTGGAGGGCCATGATTTCATAATCTCTACAGGCAATGCCGCCACCAATTATCACAAAACAACCCTTTTTTGAAGGGAGCCATAACCTGCTATGCATGACATCTCTGCTCTCTGCTTCATCTACATGGCCTGTGTCAAGAAGTTATCTCTGACGTCCTCCAGAATCCTCAGGTTCTGCTCCCATCTCCCACTGCCTTGCCCTTTCAAGCCAGTGTCATGGCAGGTGAGTTTTCCCATACAATATAGGTCCATGATCTGGAGAATTTMTTGAGCTGCTAAAAGATAACTTCATCTACTTCCTCTCAATTTGTTCTACTGCTTGCAGCAATGCCAGTAAGAACAGTTTCACAGGTTAATTTCTGAAGCTCCATGCTTTGTTCACCGGATTTGAAGTTAATACTTCAAATTATTYGTTTCCCCACATTATGACTTAACAGAGATTTTCTTACTTACCTCTGAGAGCATTAATTTTGTTGGAGTCCAGTGGGCTCATRCCACGATCAAGACTACCATACACGTTGCTTTTCACCAGCACATCCTCAGGGAACATATGACGAATYAGGAAGCGAGCTGACAGCTCTGGCCGTGTCTTCCCCTTAGCGACGTAAATTACCGAGAAAGGCAACTGAACATTGCGCCATGGGCTCCCGAGAGGTTCTGGAGAAGATGTCAAGGAGGGAAGACAGATAGATATTTTACTCATCCAACACTAACCATGCTTCAAAGTAGCTGTATTACRTCAAAACTAACACAAAAAGATCACCCAAAACCTGCTCTACTTGCTTGGAAAGACCAGAGCAAAACCGTAGAACACTGCAGCTAGTGCTGACATGAAATGTACTGCAGACACGTTACCAAACAGTCAGAAAGCCCTGCCTGGTTTATAACCATGTAACAGTACTTCTGATAGGCCTTCAGCAATGCTGGCAATGTAACCTGCATTAYTAATGACTGCTTTCTAACTTGTTTTCATCTCATGTGCAAAGATGATGCTATTCCAATAATAAGTAAAAAAAAGTTCTATTTAAATGATGCTTAGATCCTGTAAGTGGAAGCAGAAAAAGAGAGTATTTTTTAACTACTCCAACCTGACTTCACTGCAAACATTAATAAGAAAAAATGCAAAATGTTTAGTACATAAGGAGATGTGTGGGATCTGACTAACAAATCTTGGGTGCAGGAACAGATCTGATACAGCCTGAAAATGATCTTAATCAAATAAAGTATTTCCAAGGGCAACTAAGCTCATTTTCTTTGAGGCTCTCTAAGCATCACATGCTGTACATGGATTTTTTTCCCAATACATTTGTATACTGCACACTTTCATTTAAAATAAATGAAAATAAAAAGGCTGATTTAAGATTTTTATTGTCTTACGGAGTCASTTTTGCAGAAAGGTGTGCTTTTTTWACTGAARTTGCAACACCATTCAACAGATATTCTGAACTAGCTTACTTGCTTAARGCAGAGTATCTACCAAAAACAAGAAAAAAAGCCAGGGCAACTGAACAGAGTAACTGAAACTAAACTTCCCAGTGTCACAGTGGATATGCTTTATGGGACACTGGTAGATGCAAACATATATTCTGTCAGCCAGATATAGTGTTCTTGTTCATTCCCAAAAAGACATGCTATGTATACAACGAATGACTGCCTTAAGAGAAAAAGAAGAGTCAGAATAGTTTAGAAAATYCCTTTACTACACAATTATACTTACAGTAGCTATTTTGCCTCTCATTGACCATTTAAAATGTAAGAAACAATTCCAGAAAACAAACATTTCTTAGTTTACCCATAGGTTCCAAAGACTGTTGTTTCTTGATTGAAGATGTGTGGAAAACTTCTGCAATCTTATCCAGTCCTGAATTCTGCCATGTGTCAATTGTGGAGCCGGTCATTTTCTGAGAGTTTTGAGAATTGCCTCCACTATCTTCCTTATAATTTAAATCTACACAATGAGATGTATCAGGAGCATCAGTCACTTTTTCTTCCCCCTCAGCAGTCTCCTGAAACATTAGATGAGGTTAGCACACGCACCGAGAGAAGCCTACCTAATTAGTTTTTTTCTAATTAGTGTTCCATTTTATTTCACATTTAGTATAAATTAGATTTCAGATATTTACAATAYAGTCACTCCTGAATTTCTATAATGAAAATCACAGGTGGAACAGTTAATAGGTATTTGAAGATGTGCACAGAGCATTTTAGAAGCAGAGGTAAATGGAGKTGCAGGCATTTTGGGAGTGATGTTTCAGTCAACATAAAACTGAAATGCATGGYTGGATATATCTGAAAAAAAAGCCTATGAAAACAAGTGATACCAGCTACATGTTTAAGCCTCTCAATCAAATTTGCACTAGTATCCTATGCCTGAACATCTATTAACTGAACACTGGAAGCAGGAGCAGGAAGAGGCAAAGCAGAGAAAGGCATATTCCAGTATTCCCCACAGAAACAGTGCTGTAGTCAGCAGGCTTGTGCTGAACAACACAGAGACAGCACCCAAGGAGCTTCCAATTACAGCACTTGTACAATGAGGAGGTCAAATGATTAGTCTGAGAAAACAGCACCAACTGAGTACTCAATAAATCCTCACCTTAGGAGAACTTGCTAAGTTTGCTTTTGTTTCACAGCGYAAACAGCGGATCATAGCATTGACATTTGTGATACAGGTTTTCCAGTCTTTTCCATGCTCGCTCAAATCATAGGTTGGAAAGTTAGTTGCAAGAAACTCTGCACATAAAATATAGAAAACGTTTTAAMCTTCATGACAATAGCCAGTATTTASAAAYATCYTAATTGAGGAAGWGAAAGAAAGCTACCAAAAACTTCATGTTTACTGTTTTCCATTTACAAGCTTTAGATTTACAGTGATAAATAAAGGTAGTAAACTTACGTTTTGAAGCTAAATAGMACTATGAATTCAAGCTGTTCTGTGATACTTTTTGAGGTGTTGTGAACAGTRTTTTTATTATATTAAGCATTTGCATTTCCTGGTAGAATTAGCGAAAATATGTAATTAGCAGAAATATGTAATTAAGTTATCATAGTAACTTAAAAAACGCCAGAAAACCAACAATCTCCCCCTGCCCCCTAAAAAGAACAGAGATAGTTGTAGCAACGGCATTACCCTATTTGGGTAATGGCTTATATAACCTCACACTCAATTTTAACCTTTTAACACATACWTGCSATGGGATCTGTGTAAATGACTTGAYATTTWAAAAAGAATCCCCTCCAYCTTCACCATTTCTCAATCAAGAGAATTGAACATTAAAGTATTTAAAAAATCATCAGTTAATATTTGTCCAAAGTATACCATGGCCATAAACCAACCCAAATCAACTAAACAAAAAGCCACTGACAAAACCCATGGCACACACAAACACAAAATAAATTACAATTAAAAATTTAGAGACAGCAAGCATGACCGATGAACATGTTGTACACAAAATTAGAAGAAATCGGAATTGTTTCATCCACGTTGAAGAAAAACAAACACTGAGAATTACAAAGCAGGACTTTCAAAACAAAAAGACACTGCAGAGTGGAGCACATCCACTATGGCATTTATCTGTTCACCWGCTCCCAGACAATGATTAGCCAGAAACATACAGAAAGAAACTCCTTGTAAGTTCAAAACTTCGTTAAATATGAAAGAAGTAAATCTGGGCATTTGGAAAGGCAACATACCTCTTATGGCAGCAATTTTGTTTGGATCCAATGTCCTGCGCCCTCGTGAATTAGATCCCATAACGCTGCACAATAAAGTTTTCTTGGGGAACAAGACACGGACCAAGTGGCGCGCTGCATACTTGGGTTTAGTCTTTTGCCGAGCCTTCGCCAAATGGTTTCCAAGAACTTTTACATTTCTTGCTGGGTCACCAACAAACTCTTTTGTACAACAAAAATATTTAAAGAAAAAATTAAAAATCCCAAGAAGTTGTTAAAAACAAAGTGTTTTTTCAAACTCTTCCTCTTGACTCTCAGAGTATGTTCTCTACTACAGTTAATTCTACTATGTATTACTACTTATCTTTAATAAATCTACTATGTTTAACTATTTATCTTTGCTCTCAAAAAAGCAGCTTTAAATTGGAATGTAACAGAAATTTTGACTCACATTAACTACCAACACAACTAACTGAAATCAAAACACCCAAGAAAATACATTAAGACACCCAACAGTCCACAAGGCTCATACTTGCCTATTTTACACATGAATGTTTTCAAGACATTGACTCACAGACCAGCATATCCTTATACAGAACTGCTAAATCATGAACTGTTTATTTTAGTAACTGTTAATTTTTAAATAGGTATTTCCATCTAAAGAATTTCTCCTACTATTCATGCAGCTCTTCAGCTGTACAAACTTATTTTTTAGACCAAAAGCAATGAAAAAATCATAGCTCAGCCTTGCACATAACTCAGGTCATTTAAACTTCAAAAATGCATTAGTTTTTAAGACACAATACTATTTTATAYGAGTATCTTCATTGTAATGCAATGATCTATAGACTTTGTTTTCCACAGAATTAAGTGTTTTGAAAGAAACCAAACACTGGAGGATTTGAGTATAGAAASGATTTTTCACTGATAAAATCCTCCACAAGAAGAAAGCAGGTATTTCCTTCACACAGATCAGGTACGCTGCTTTCTTAAAACACGCATACAGGCATATGCCTCACTTAAGTTTTAGTGGCAATCTCTTTTGCCTTCTCCAACACATGGACAGCATTCATGTAGCACTTGTGAATTATGCACAGTTTAAGAAAGGTTCATTAACAAAGAAAAAGAGAACCTAGAGTTAAAAGAATCAAAAGCACCTATGATAAATCAAAGGCTTCTTGTAGTACCAGCCTTTTTTTTTTTTTAGCTTTTGTTTCTGAGTATTTATCACAAAGGAACTTACCAAAGCTACGATTGATGAAGACTGAAGAAGAAGGTAGTTCTTCACTAATATTCATGTCCCCAGATGCATTTCTGTAGTTCAAGTCCACAGCRTTTTTTTCCTGACTGGGCTCAGATGGTGCTGGTATCGATGATGATGCCACTGGTGAAGACTCAACCTTGACAGTACTTTCCACAATACTGGGAGCAAGATTTGATTGTGGAGAAAGGTCAGGCATCCCATTAGTTTCTGTGTATGATGAATGCAATGAATGTGTAGAAACTATGGTGGGCAGTGGTGGGCTCTGCCTTCCMATCTCAGGCTGCTGAGATTCAAGCTGAAGACTCTGCTGGGCACGTTTTACTTTGTGAACATGGCCATTTTGTAAAGGAATCCTTACAACTGGGCTATGCCTTCCCTGGCCTGATGAAGAAAGATGAAGATTTAAATCCCTTTCCATATGTTTTTGTACTCTTATTTTTCCTGGGGAAAAATGACTGGAACTTCTGCATGTAAATCCAACTGGTTTCTGCAAACATGATTAAGAAAACAATTTAAAGGTTAAATTAGACATAGCTGATAATTTTTTTTTTTAGCAAACCAGGAAAACTAGATTTTAGAAACCAAYGCTATTGGCAGCATACTCTTCCTTGAAGCAGTCTCTATCATYAATTCAGAGCTATCATGTTTTAGTCTTCTGTCTACTTTCTTCTAGTCTCACTTGTATTTGCAAGACTGAGTTTATCTGGTCAGTTTCAATGATTTTTTTTCTACTKGGAGTTGTTGGCAAAATTACTTTCTAGAGCTGTATAGAAAATTAAATAGGAAAAATAAAATTTAAAATTTTTAGTCATGGACCCAGTCATTGGCTGATGAATTTTCAAGGAATGTGTCCACTGCCATGCTAGCTTCCTTGCAAACAAAAAAAAAAAAACCAAAAAAACCCAAACACTTTCTCTTCTTTCTTTTTAACTGAAAACATTAAACATCCAGATCTCAGCTACAAATGAAGATTCCAAAGAGACTGGTACAGACAAACAAAAAATGGCTATATTTTCCATCACTCCAAGCACTTTCATTAAAAAATATACAGCATGCATTCTAGTTCGAAACACAAGTCACTGACCAGGGGCCACAAATGTAGATTACACATATGGGTTTGGCTTTCTTACTTTTGGTGGTTTTATTTGTTTGTTTAGAGAAATCTTATTACATCTCACCCTTGGAACCTTAAAAAAAGCTATGATCTTAAGTCTTATGCATTTGAAAGCTTGATTCTCCGGCTTTTGGAGTTCATTTAACAGAAAAAAGTACCTTTACCACAAACCATTCCCTTAGACCTTCACAAGAACAGCAGTGGTACAACTATTAAAAAAATACCCAACAGCATTCCTGATGGTTTTAAATGGTAGAACCTAAGAAAATAGTGGGCAGCTTACATCTTGCTCTTCATAGGGACAAAAAAATTAAAAAAAAAAAAAAAAAAAGGAAAAAAAAAAGCAGCGTGGATCACTTTTAAATCAAGAATCAAAACATTAAAAAGCAGCTTCCTGCATATCAGATGGAAGGGTAAGAGTGCAGAGGTCTTACAGGGTTCATTTGCAGGTGAAAAGATCAGTTTGTCCCCTGAAACTGGTGGTTTTGGATGTGTGGACACAACACGCTAGGAGTTAACAGCAAAAACACAKACCAAATAAAGTCTAGTATTCTACTGAGAGCTGAAAGGTGTGAAATTCAGCTTCACGCACCCTTGGACCAAATGGCCTTACTGCTGTCTTGACATATCCTGAAGCAGTATCATCTCTGCCACATTAAAAGCTTTGCAGTGTTGTTGACAGAAAAGGTCATCATGGATTTTATGACCTTTTTCAAAAATCATACTTTCCTTTTAAAGACCATTGTTACAAGGACTAATATTGTGTCTCCTTAGTTAACAGTGGTCAGACCATTTAGGAACAAAATAAATAGTGTACTCAATAYCAAACATTATTAAAAACGTTACAAAAGGGGTTTTCATTAAGAAAACCAATAAAGACCCCTTGGTCTTTTCAATCGCCCTTCCATCCCCCTTTTCTATTCCTCTTCTTTAYCAATAAACAGTTTTYAGATAGAATATTGCYRCATTTGCGCTTTATTTTTTGTCCAAGAAATCTATTAAAAGAATCCTCCCCGACTCCCTCTTTTCACAGCAGGACGGGACAGACAACACATTGTTGAGATCTAAAATTCAGTAAGTAGACTGAACCAATCTGACTGATGCTTAAACTCTTTTAATTGTGAAACCAATGAGACAGCACATCACACACTGCAAAGGTGCAACAGCAGTATACTGAAGTTTAAGATGCACCTACACATTTCACTTCTGTTCMTCCCAATACAAATAGAATTTTACAKCATCTTTCTCAGCATCCYGATTCTGATGGGGTTCACTGCCAATCTGTGGCCACCAGTCAGTAACACAGGAGCCTGAAGGTGGCACATAGTCAGAAATCTCAAGTAACTGAAATTGAAATAGATTCTAAGTCTATTATTTTGCTACTAATTTAATCTTAGTGAAAGGATTGGATTCTTTAAAATAAGCCTCAGAGGAAATGAGAGAATTAAAGCAAAAAAAAAAAAATCTTAAGTCTTTAATACTCACAGGTTTGAGCAATAATGGCTTTATACGAGYATGCTGCATCTCTGAGACCTTACGATGAAGCAGGTCAAATTTTTTATCCAGCTTCTGTATGGCATCGTACATGGCCTGTCAACAAACRTAAGACTGAAAACAGTACCATTTCACAAGAACCCAACCTGAACCTGAAGAAACCAAGACAGTTCAATTAAAAGCTAAACACCCTCCCTAAAACTCAGTCARCTTTCTTCCATGGCACTGCTGATTGYTTAAGGAGACTTACAAGACATTAACACTTGGCTACAAGCCCCTTGTAAATTGACTTCCATTAAGAATGGCTCGAATCATTCCAGTCACACAAGTGCTCACCTGAATAAATATAGGATGTTTAATTTTTAGTGCAATTATTTTCAATTTTGCCAGCTACTGCTTCAGAAGTCAACAGGAAAGAACTCACAAAAACAACACTACCAGGACTTTTGGCACACCTTTGGCAAACAAAATGYACTTTCAATAGCTGGGTGTGTATCACAGCCCATTTTCACACACCATATCTTTCCCTTTAGTGTGAAGCTCCTTCCCAGTATCCAGACTTTACATTTTGTATTAAAGCTTAATATTTGAAAATTAAAATTGAACAGTTCAGAGAATAYGAAGGAGATCAGTTTTACTTTAAAAATATTATAGTTATGTCGGTAACTAACAAGTGAACAACTGTAAAGGATCAAGTCACTGGTTGTCAAGTATACAATACAATTCTTCCTGAATTTTAACTAAAAATGTTTAAATGCCATTTCAGATATAAAGAAAAAAAAATACCTGGCAATAACTGAGGACCTCTGTAAGTGGATTCTGCTGATATCCAGTGTAGGAAGCTTCAGATAAAATGCTCTCCTTTTTCATTAAAATAATAATTAAACATTAAAAAAAAAAAGGAAAAGAGTGTAAGGTACTAATATATACACAAGCTTAGGATATCACATTAAGCAAGTAAATCCCAACTTCAAATCTCACACGTTATTTCAGCCTACCCCAAAATACCCATCCCCAAATCAGCTTTTCACAGTCAARCAAATGAAAATTAACTTACACATTCATAGTCTGGTTCATACTCATAAATGACACTGTCACTATCTTCATATTCTTCTTCCCTGGTTCTCATCTGGGAAATAATATAAAAAACATTTATATGTATATGTATGTATCTATGTATATGCATATGTATGTGTGTGTGTGGTGTATATGCGTAAATGCATGTGTGTATATATATATATATACATGTAGATATATGCATATGTGCATATATATATATACACACACACACACATATATATATATATATATATATATACACATATATATATATAAAATACGCACTTTTATTTGCTTATTCTAACGGCAGGGCTTTGTCATCTAACTATATGTACTATACAGCCAAACTTCTGCAATSACAGAATCACTYAGATTGGAAAAGACCTTTGAGTCCAAATTATGAGACTTCAGCGGGTATAACTGCACRCAGAAGCTGTAAAAAATGTCAAAAGCAGACAATTTTCGCTCGGCTTGAAACCTGCTTGTAGCCAGGAAGAACGGCGCCACCACCTGGACAATCCTGGCATTTTCCTTTTACTGGATGGACGCTCCCATCCACCAYACACCACGGATTTAATGCGTCTACTGGTGGTGTTTTCTTGTTTCTTTCTTTTAAATTTTATTTTCTTAACTAATCAGGTTCTATTTTAGAAAAGGAAGGCTGGGAAGGCTAGGTGCCGCTTTTTTTTTTTGTTTACAACACACAGAACTTGGTGACTGGTAAAATTAAGGAGATTATTCTGGGAGTTACTGAAAAACAGCTGAAGGACAACTGTGTCATCAGTCACAGCCAGTACAAATTCAGGAAGGTAAAGTCCTGCTTGTCAAAGTTTAATGTTTAATGTTAAGTTTAAAATTTTGTTTAATGACAAGATAACCCACCTAGCTGATCAAATGAAGTTGATGTACCTATTTGAATTTCAGGAAAGCTTTTGGCTGTCTCTCATAGGATCCTACGGAAAGAACGTCCAGCACAAAGCTGGATAAACACATCATGTGATGGGTGAGCAACAGGCTCATGAGCCAGGCACAAAGGGTTACAGTGAATGGGGTGACTGGTGTGAATCAGACCAGTGACCTGTCATTAGTGGGGCTCTGCAGGGCTCCATCGTCAGCCCTGTGCTTTTCAACATCCTCATAAATGATGTGGAGAAAGGACTGGGAGGGATACTAAGTCTTCTGATGACACTACATTGGCAGAAGCTTTTGACTCTCTTGAAGGCAGAGAGGTCCTGCAGAGAGATCTGCGCAAATCAGAGGCTGGGCAACCACCTACTCAACTGAAGTTTAACAAGAACTGCTGGATTCTGTACCTGGGACAGGGCTACTCTGGATGTACAGACAGACTGCAGAGTAAGAGGCTGGAGACTTGCTAGAAGCATCCATGTATGGATATCCTACCAATCTTCAGCGGGATGTCATATCATCACACAACAGTGAAAGAAAAATGATATTCCAAATAATACTGAAACTGGCCTGAAAACAAAGGGCTACTGTTTGGTGAAACATACCACATTGGTTTCCATTACAGCAGGAGAAAGTCGTTTTCTTTTATTAKGTGAAAACACAAAATCCATTTTTTCAGGGCTGTGACCATTTCTTCTCTGCATCATTGTAGAACGGCTCATTTGTGAGGCTGTTTGATCAGCAAGCACTGGCAAGCCTTCGCTTTCTGGGAAAGTGAAGAGAAAAGCAAAGCACATCAGCAAGTTTCCGACTGCTATAAACATTTCACTACAGTAAAACCAGGCACAGTCACCCTTTTTTTTTAACTTTTAGACTGCCTGATTATTTGAAATCTGCTTGCCAGCATATTATCAAAGTTATTAATACAATTAATTTAGATCAAAAGTGGCAAATTCAATTTAATATTGTTTCTTCCAAATATAATGACATTTTAAAAAGTGGCAGTAAAAGTAACACTAACTTTGTAGGCATAAATGGCTAAGAAAAAAGCAAAGTAAAAGATGTTCTGCAGCATGCAGGGAGAAATAAACTTAGATGAAGAAATAAAGACCTAGATGTCTGATATTGAACTTGGTCTGACAGCTACAGTATTGTAGACAAGAAGATACAAGACAAAAGTAAAAGAAACTTGTTTGGACAGACAGAACAAGATGTGAAGGAAAGGCACTGACCCACAAAATACTGTTCTAAGATGGTGGTTGAATAAAAACAATCAGAATTTCAGTTCAAAGTTCAATAGTTATAAGACAAACTTGTGGTGTGTTTCACTCATGTATCTCACTATACTTGATTTTAACTAGACAGTATCTAATGCTAATATGCCCAAAAATAACAAAACCATCTTTTACCTTCTATGAAACAACTGCACTCATCATGATTACTTTATTAATAATGAAATAATTACTCATTTCCTAAAACCAAGGTGAGCAACTCTCTGTGACATCTTCCTGGGCAGGAGAGTTTTTTTTTGGGCAGGGTTTTTTGTTTGTTTTAAGTAATAGAGACAAAACCCAAAGTAAACCATCCAAACCACCCTCCACTCCCAAATTTGTTTTCAGACACAAACGTACARAAAACTACAGAACACTCTACTGTCAAATAAAAGACCTAAAAGACTAAAGGTTCTTAGAAGTACCCAACAACACTAGGAAACAGATGTAACTTACGTCAGAGTTAACTGTAGATTTTTAACAGATTAAAAAAAACCCTCCAAACTAGAAAGTGCCTTCACTTAGTTCTACTTGTTTTCCTCACTGATTTGGTAATACTGCTACTGGACTTTACCAAATGCTTGTWACAACTATGAATAATTTTTGTCTGGGCCAGTAAAGCATTGGGTAAGATTTCTTGARAGATTTTGATCTTTCATGTTAAATACAGTGAATTGGAGACAATCACAATGGCTACTTACAGCAAATAATTTATCACACTAAACAACCATCTTGCTATCATTACACATCAGTATCTCCAGTTACTAAGTTACACTGGACAGATTATCTAAAATCGCATTTTTTTAGATTAGGGTCTTTCACGACATTTATTTTCCAAATTGCTTCCTTATTAATTCCTAGGTACTTTTACAAGTAAAAAGTTGTCTTTTTAAAACATTGTTTTTTAGCAGGTTCACTATTTATAAAGACCTCTAAAGTAATAGCTAACAGACACCTCCTTATAAAAAGCACTGCCAAGCAATTTCTATAAAGTAGCTTTCTAATAAAATGTGTTTTAAAGATACGGGTAATATAAAAAAACATTGAATACAAAAGCACTGACCATATGGCATTAAAACTATCACAATAAAAATGAACAGTAATTACCATAGGCAAGTTGGCCCAYGTGGTGAACAGCACTGTTTGCTTCAGAGTTTTGCTGCACTGSAGTGGACAGTCCGTTGTCTCCATGGTCCATAATCATGGCTTCATCCTCGTCCTCAGTCTTCACACACAAATAATCTATTACCAGATGCAGAAAGAGAAACAGCTGAGACTACAGGCTGTTCTGAGCAGCAGATGACAAATGCAGTGCCTGTACCACATCTAGGATTATCTCAACTGTACCAAGGCCATTATAAATTCAGCTTCACTTTAACATCTAAATGCAAAGTCACCTTTAAACATAGACCCTGAGGTTTCAACACACACTATAAGGGAAGCAGCTTACCACTGATTAACTGGTATAATTTCTGAAGCTATTCAGAACCCAGTTCTTCCTAAAGCCTCAACAGGAACAGTTATGTCAGTAACAACCACTTCTACATACTCCACTCTTTACATATTTTAGCATATGAAAAGAAGTATTAATTTGATCTTGAAATTTTACTTTGATAAATAAGACTTGCTTAATACACTTGTAACAAATCAGTCTACAAATCCTAGCTGTATACTTGGTATTCAGATCAACCCAAACATTGGTTCCCGATGCAGTAATGTGCAGAAACACTGAATGACAAATCTCCAGTACCAGATTTTTTTCCTATTAAAAACACCATATCAAGAGAAAAATGTCCTGGTTTTAGAATAACTGAATTAGAGTTACTATTTCTAGATCCAGTGGTTTTGACAGGGTCGGGGTGGGACTACAATTTATTTTTTATGTAACAGATTAATGGAAGGAACCACATAAAGTTAGGAAATAAAATTAAATTCAATCAAATAAATTAAACTTAAATTCAGCCAGCACATGTGCATAATTACACTGTAACTATAGGCTGAATTTTCCACGGGATCTGTTCCCTGTTCAGTGCATAGGATGGACTGAGCTCTAGCAACGAATCAGAACTGTATGAGTAGAACAGCAGTCTCAGTCTCTACTCTCATATGATCAATTCATTCCAAATCCTACTCTCTTCCAATTTCTTAGAGGCCAAAAGGTAGAAATGCAGTTCATTCAGTTTTGCCTCTGGCCAATACTCTCATCTAATTCAAAAGACATAATACCAGCAGRGTTTTGATTTGGCCATCATCAGATTAAGAAATTGATGGTCTGTTCAGTAACACCCATCAACTGCCACGMAGTCAAGAGCTTTGTTTATAGCTGTAAACAAAGCCAAAAAACTACCTGGGGCAGAGCTGACCTGCACAAAGGAGTTTAGCTGAGGACACATGCTAGGATATGCTGCTTAGGCTGCCAATAAGAGAACTCTTGGCCAGTTTTCATCAGTATAGAAGTGAACAGGCCTACTCATRAATTTAATTTAGGTGCAGGTTTTAGCAAAACACTTCAGTGATATTCACTGACTGAAGTTCCTTGCACGCTAACCTGAGTTATTAGCATGTTCTGAATAATTAAACTGTCCCACAGGCACAAATTTTTTTGTTGACAGTCATTCAGTATTCTACCTACTTTGGGAGAGAATTAACAAAGTCAGTAGAAGTGCATCTGCATGGAAGCAGGAAGGATAAGAATCCTCTCTGCCAATTTCCCTAACCAGGATGCCAGATTAGTGCATGGTCTGACAAATGCCCTACTTACAGCTAGACCTCTGCTGTCCTGCAATCCTCTTTCTATTCCTAACCAGATGAAGCAATACAAATTCAATGTTGTTTATGMAACCCTAAAAAGCACAGAATTTACTGTCTATTCATAATCTTTGCCATCAATCTCATGCCTCACTCAAGTAACGCAAGCAAAACAACCCTACCTGATGAGCGACTACGGCACTCAAATCAACAGCAGAGAGTGATGAGCATAGAAGAGGGAAAATTCTGSGGAATCACCACATAGCAAATACACAGCAAAGTCTAAGCAGCTCCATCGGGACTACAGGAAGGCCAGTAAGATCAGAAGTCAGGAGAATTTCTACAGCTGGTTGACGTAGAAAGCAAAGCTCAGTCTTCCATACCCTCTACTACCCTCCCTTAAATAAGTTCCAAAATCATTATTTCAACAGTGCAGWGGACTCTGGGCAGAAAGTGTTTCCAAAGCCTGTAGCTACAGCAATTCATAGCTGGAGAACAAACATAAACCAAACTGGAAAACACAGAAAGGAAAACCACCTCAATTAAAAAAACCAAAAATTATAATGCATTGCTACAATGACGTGGAAGCAATGCAGCAACAAGCAGTAGCCTCTCAAGAATTTTGGCTCTCAGATGACAGCCAGGATCCTCATCACCCCCTCGTCTTTTAATTTCCATCATCCATTGCTGAACGTGGCTGCTTTCACACACGGAAAGGAAATTATTCTGTCTTCAGAACAGCACTTTTACATGCACAGTCAAGAAACTTGGAGATTAGAATAAACTACCCATTTCCATGAAGGCTTATTAGTATGACTGGTCACTGCAACAATAAGGAATGCAGCTGCAAGAACGTAGACTCACCTGCTTTATACCAACCACTTCTTCCTTTTCCTAATGCATTCTAATTGCCTGGCCTCTAAAGTGAATGGACAAATTTAAATGTCTTTGCTGTACATTACCTACATTTCACGAGCAAGAGGAATATATACGTATGATCAAAAATATTTTGTTTATGAGACTGATGAGAATTAAATGAAGTTTGCTTACAGAAAATTAGAATATAGCATATTACAGATCATTCACACCTTCAAAAACTTGTGACAAGAAAAACTTGCAGCTATTTACCCATAATCTGAAAGACACTGCAAATTAGTCCTCTAAACAATTCCAAATATTCTGATGCTTCTTTAAAGTGGTTGGAAAAGGGAATATTACCAGGCATATATAGAACCAAACAGTACGAAATACCACTCTGACTCTCAGGTAGAAACCACAAACTACCAAATTCTATGGATTAATTTGTGCTCCTGAAAAAAAAAAAAAACCACCAAAATTAAGCCATCATGGTATTTTTTACTTCTGACTTGGATGAAGATGCAACTGCATTTCTTGTAAAAAAAAAAAAAAAAACCACCAAAATTAAGCCATCATGGTATTTTTTACTTCTGACTTGGATGAAGATGCAACTGCATTTCTTGTGCCAAGTTAGTAATTTATACGCATAAACTCACTCCACTGACAGAAAATTTCATTACATACATATTTAGACCTTTCTGGTAAGTCTTGAAAGGAAATAATGCATTTAAAAAGTGTGACTCAGGAAATACCTTACGTTTACATATTTCAAACATAGCTTTTACTGTAAAGTGGAATACACATTAGTAAGACTTATTAAATAGGTGGATTTATCCAATTAGTGGAACAAGTTATCAGTTTAGGAGAACTCTAAATTTCTGTTTGGAAATTCAAGTGACATCTAAAATTATAAAACATGACCAAACTGATTTCCTTTTCAGACTCAATACATACTCTGAGTTACATGATATAGGCTATGACTTAGTATTTTCAGTACGGCAGTAGGATATGCTAAAAGGTTGAAGTTCATTAAAAAAAAGTGTATTCTAGTGAAAGACATTTATAGACAGAGCAGCACAGTGAAATGACCATATTAAAACCCCAGGATCTGAGGGGATCTTCTTGATTTCTAAGATGTTTATTGTTATAATTTAGAATTCTTTCATCAGGAGGGTGTCTTCACTTCTGCACAAAAGCATCAGGTAGCAGGTACTTGCAGAAAGTTAAAGGCACTTACATTTGAATTATCTGCACCCAAAAAAGGTCCAACTCTGTGTCTAGCCCTGTACTATATTAAATTACAGTTTTTAATGCAGCACTGTGAAACCAAGCATCACAAAGGATTCCCATTAACCATCTGAAAGATATATTTTAAAGTAACTGTAATTGAGAATTTCCTCTCTCCTTTGGAAATACTGTCATTTTGATCGACACACTCCAAGAACGAAATGACTGCTTATCTTTTTACTACCACTCAGCCCCCTGTCACCAAATAATACAGAGTTTGGTGAAAAGAGCTGAAAACAGAAAAAAATACGTGAAACTCAGGAATGAAAGATCAATATAACCAAACTACAGCATAAAGAAAATTGGGACACACATACATACAGACCCCTAACACTATAGATAGGACACTGAAAGTTCACAGATGAATAATTTTCTCTGAAATAATTTAAAGATGGGAAGATGTTGGTATTAAACATCGAGAAACACTAAAACCAAGCAAACAAACAACAAATGAACTCTTTCAAAGGCAGAGTTAAAAAGGAAGACATCACAGCCAAAAAAAACTCTAGGAGCTAAAAATTCCATACCAAAACAAATCAAGCAAAGCAACCCCACCCAAATWAATAAAGAACTAACCTGGGTTGAAATTAAGCCACAAAAGGAGAGATTGCTAGCCTTAACTCRGGTCACAATTACATTCTGCACTATTTATGGTGTGACTCCTGCACGAACTTACACAGAAAAGTGAACTAACACAAGGGAGAGCCCGGGGACACCTGTGCCTTTCAGGGTTAGCACCATCCTGTCGCAACTCTAAGTAATCCTCAGCCTATTAACTCGATCTCACTGCAGACATAACAGAGCTTTAAGATTTCTGTGTACTGCGATAATGTACAAGCATAGAAACACAACCAGGCCTGATGCATCAGCTGAAGTCTGAAGACAAACTGACAGAGTACTTTTTCCTTTTTCGCAAGTATGCTACTGATTAAATACATCACATAAGCCAGTGGAATAAAGAAGGATTTGTAGTGAATCAGACATAAAACCATAAATGCTGTCACTTGTTGCAGAAAYAGAAATGTAGGTGACCATCAAGTACAGATAGAATGGTAAAGGGAGGCTGATGAGAAAGAGAGCTGAAACCACCATTCAGCACTAAATCCTATCCCAACCTCTACTACAGAGTTTCTGGCRGGCTCCTTGAAAATCATGAAAACTTTCCACAGAAATCTGGTGTGTTTTCTTTTTCTAACAGGTCAATTAGACACAGCTCTGTATTTCTGCAAACAATCATCTCAACACWCCCAGGTGCAAGAGCCAGCCATGTGTAAGGCCAACTAGATTTTACAGAGATGTTTAAATACTGCACTCAGAAAAAAATGGTAGCAACTCATCTCAAGTCAATTCCTTGAATTTAGCATACTTCTGATTATTTTATCCTTCCTGTAGATATGCTGTCAGGGATCAGAAACCCAGAATACTCAACATAAAATGCTTAACAACAGCCTCTGAACACTGAAGGAAGAGTTAATTTAGAWTGCTGTTGTCAGAATTTCCAACAAACTAAGACAACAGAAACTAAAATTAAGCTCATAAAACCAATCACCAGAGAGAAGCAAACAAATAAAACCAGACTTCCTGTACCTTTACATGTCATGTTTGGATCACTGAGATGCTAAAACCACTGAAAGTCAAGCTRAAGTCACTCTCATACAAAGACGTCTGGTATTTATTAAGATTGGAGCTCATACTGCACATTTTGACCAAAGGTTATTATTAATGGCATAKCTCTTCTATTGCCAGGATTAGTACAGGCTTAGTATTTGCTAGGGTCACTGAGTTACAAAGCCAATCAGGAGACCAAAAAATTGAGGATAAAGAAGGACTAACAAACACACCATTGTGTATGTTTATTTAATAAGGATGATATCGGATTGCTACGCTCCCACCCTGATACGTGTCGGTCCTACTCTTTCACTTCATGYTGGCACTTGCAGAACTGCACAGTGAAGCGGYTGTGCCTTAACCAGAATAGTTCCTTGAACAGTGAAGTCATACAAGGAAATTGGCCTGAAGAAGACACAGCCCTCTTTAGATGATACGTCTGTGACAGCAACAAGCTAAATGAGCTTAAACTAATCTGAGTCTGCAAAAACATCACCCCTCTGAAGAGCAAGGTGAAACATGTAACTGGCGTAAATAGCTCTGTTTCTGTCCGAACTAAAGATGTCTGACGTCTAAAACACCCGAGTTGCGCTGTGCACTGTGTCTTCTGACAGAGAACTCATTAGGTCGGGCCTCTCACTTGGGAGCATCATTCACCTCTTTCTCACTCAGGCTTTGTATCCGAGTAACCTTAGCGCTGGGGAAACCTGTCAGACCCGAGACCCTTCTGATCCACAGCAAAGTCTCCCCAATATTTTAGCACTACAGTCACCCGCCATTTGAAGACTATAGAAAGCAAAAGCTTCCCCCACCATCAACAGTGCAACTGACGCAACCAAGCTGTGGCTGGGTCACACWRCTTCCCCGAAAGTCCTGTCCCGGGRACACACATCCCCGGGGAGAGGCCCTGGGGCGCGCTGGGCCCGCACGCCCGAGAGGGGAAACGGCGCGGCCTCGCCCGCCATGAGCCGCGCCCCCGCGCCGCCAGACCCCGCCGGCGCTGACGCGGTGCCGACGGGCAGGAGCGGCAGCCAATGGCAGCGCGGGCCGCGCGGGAACGGGCGAATAGCGACGGGCGCGGTGGGCGTGGCCCGGCCGGCTCGGCAGCAGCGTTGGGGCTGTTGCGAACGATGAGGGAGCGTTCCCCGCGCCCCGSCGGCGCCGCGTCCGGCCCGCCGCTCTCGGCGGAGCGAGCCGGCCGGCCCGSAGCCTTACCCTCCTCCGACATGGCTCGCTGGGGCTGCTGAACGCGGGGGCTTCCTCGGGTGGGTCGGGCGGCGGAGCGAGCCGGGGCTCGGGCACAGGCAGGTGTGGCCGGAATGCGGCGTTGGAAACGGAAGCGGCTTCTCCGACGTGAGCAACAAACTGTTTCGAAGCAATGCGGCTGCGCATTGGCCGCGGGGGCGCGTCCGGGAAACGGGAGCGCATGGGCGGTGCCCCCGCGCCTTCAGCAGCCGCAACGTGCGAGCAGCAGTGCGTCCGTCAGCTAAACAGCCATTTAGCCAGCCAAGCACCGCTCCGCTCCTGCAGCAGCCAGTTAGCCAGCTGGCCCCCTCCTTCAATAGCCGGCCCGGCCGTCTGTTCCTTCAGCAGTTCGCCCGCTCCCGGAGCAGCCACCCAGGCAGCCCGTTCCCGCGGCAGCAGCCGGCCCGCTCCCGCAGCAGCCCGCCAGCTAACTAGCCAGCTCTGGGATCAGCTAGTCCGTCGGCGGGCTCTTTCCCCAGCAGCCCGCCAGCTAACTAGCCCGCTCTGGGATCAGCTAGTCCATCGGCGGGCTCTTTCCCCTGCAGCCCGCCAGCTAACTAGCCCGCTCTGGGATCAGCTAGTCCATCGGCGGGCTCTTTCCCCAGCAGCCCGCCCGTTCCACAGTCCCGGCCGGAGGTGCGCTGCCGGGCGCGGCTCTCGATTTACGGAAAGTTCCCCAACTTTCTGCATGTTCTTCTCGGCTCCGTGGCGCTGCCTCACTCCCTGTTAGCCGAGGCCCGGCTGAGGGCGGCAATCTCGGCTTCGTGCAGATTTCTTGGGCCACTGCGGGGTGTGGGGCTGCCTAGCTTCTCCCCGGGGCTCTGCGGGGGGGCAGAGTCTCTTGTATATGCCATTCACGATTTCAGCGTACAAAACTTGTGGTTTCTTATCACACCAACAAAGTGAGTTTTGGTGATGTGGAAAGCCCCCTATTTCTTGGATTCAGGGATGGGGATCAGCAGGTGCAGGAAACACCCTGTCCAGATATCCCATGGGTGTCTTCACRCTCTCCCCTGGAGGTACAGGAATCTGTTTGGGAAAATCTATTGGGGGAGTGATTGGAAGAAYCACAGAATTAACTAGKTTGGAAAAGACAGTTWGAGAGCATCAAGTCCAGCTTATCACCTGGCAGCACATTATCAACTAAACCATGGCTCTAAGTATTACATTCAGTGTGTTTTAAAAACTTCCACCACCTCCTTGGGCAGCCCATTCCAATGCCCAATTACAGCTGTTTCCCTCTCATGGTGCAAGAGATACTATTTTGAAACATGATTTTTATCAAAGTTGAAATATCTATCTCCAGACTATTCATCACTGTCTGTAGCACTGTCTTCTGAAGAGTCAACCCATTCRTTGACTTATGCAGAAGTGAAATGCAGTTTTGCAGTACCAACTAGAAAGGTCTTTCATCTTCAGACTCTACCTAGTGTTTAGAAGGCAAAGACACATGAATATTCTGGTTCTCTAGTAATTTGCACCATATTCCTTTTTTCTCCTTCATGAGAACAATAATAGCTTTTTAATTGTTATTCACACGTGTAGACTTTTCTATATTTTCAGATATAATATTTTCAGATATTGACTGATGCAGCTTCCATGTTTACCAAATAAAGTTTGTCTCCTGAATAAGAACATTAATGCTGATGGAGGGTCGAGTCTTCCACTTCCTTTTAGCTACACCATCATCACATGGATGATTCCCAGTAGTAGTTTTCAGTAGAATTTTATTGTATTTGCATTCTGTGTATTGGTTGCATTTTCTAGACTGGCTGTATCCCRTTTTATGCTTCTGCTTGCTGAGTGCTGCTTGGTGTACTAACAGGAGGTGATGTGGGCWGCTGATGTTGGATTTTGATGCAGGAGATCTCCACTGTAGGCAATAAATGCTCCAAGTTCTTTGCATGATCCAACATTTGCATGTGCCCGCACAAATTTCTGAATTCTGTTGCATCTTCTGGATTGTTCGTTGCCAGAGCTGTAAACAGAATCTCAGGAGGAGCATTGTTTTCACTGAGCTGCACCTTCATACTAGAAAGGCTGGTAACCCAGACCATTGGGTCAATCCGTATATTTCCCAAATACGTATTAGTTTTGCAGGATGTCGTTTATTTGTAGTTTATATGTGGTTTGTTTTKGGGATAATGAATGACCCTTGGGTTTCATTCAGTTTCATTACCAGTGAGTTTTAATGCCATATTCCTCAGCWTGAGGTGGCAGACACTTAAACCTTGCCAGTAATTGAAGCAGCTCATTGCTACTAACTTGATTTGTTCTGCCTTCATCCATATATTTAATTGTGACCTTGCAGACAAAATTTTCTTCCTCATTTGGTGGAATTTCTACCATCTGARCCCTTTGAAAAAGGGTTTCTTCACGTTATCCATAAAATGACAGCTTTTCCACATGATTTATGTGGTTTATCTATTACTCAACCAAAGTTTGCTGTATTTACAATGTGGAGAGACATACTGTTGCCTCAATCCCCTATGAAAAGGGTAAAGAGGGAAAGAAAAACACTTCACAGACAATAGAGATAATACAAAAAGCAGGTCTTTAATGGAAGCTTCCAGGTACCCCCATGGTTATGGGCATGCGGGGAATCAGATTTTTACAGTTTTTATAATGTTAATTAATTAGTATATCTAACTAATATTATCCAATTAGAAGAGCAGCTGGGGAGGTCATTTCCACCTGGGTTCTGCCCCATTGGAGCGTCACCTCCCTGTGCCCCCCCATCCCGAACTCTTAGCCTTCCATTTTATTATGTCTACAATATATGGTGCAAAAAAAGACTTGCTAGAATATAAAAAGCTAGACTAAACAGAATCCTAAGAATGTATAATAAGGGTTACTTAATTGTTCTAGAAAGTAGGGGGAAAGGGTAGGAAAACTACTAGAAGCTACTACCRTGTATTAACAGTCTACAAAGTTAAAAATACTGGGAGCAACAGGAGCTGTCTTGTTCCCAGGGGAAGGATAAGAAAAAGGTGATTCAAYATTGTATATTGAAATGGACTAAAAAACCCATTAGACCAGACCCATTATATTGGCCAAGATACAGGTCTTCAGAAGATTGGATGTCAGGCTTTAAATCTATATGTGAATGCAAAGGAACCTTGTGACCCAAAAGAGAGGTATTGTGCTGCTTGTTGGAAGGGATATTTGTCCATGTTTGTGACTAAAGGCTTGAAGRAGTATAGAGGGGAGAGAAAGAGGGGAAAATGAGACCCTTTAGACCACTTAATCCCTCGCTGTATGCCTGATAGAGAATCAAATGTTCTGAATTTAGAGGAAATGACAGTTGAGTGGAAAAGGGATGATAATGATGGGGAAAGATAGGAAGTTGTTGGTCTACATGGCAGGGCTGGTCCCTGTGAAACGGCGGATCCACATGGCACAGTTGGTCCCCGTGAAATGGGGGATCCACGTGGTGGGGCTGGTCCTTGTGAAATGGCGGATCCATGTGGCATAGCTGGTACCTGGGAAATGGTGGATCCATGTGGCATGGTTGGTCCCCGTGAAATGGTGGATCCATGTGGCATAGCTGGTACCTGTGAAATGGTGGATCCATGTGGCATGGTTGGTCCCCGTGAAATGGTGGATCCATGTGGCATAGCTGGTACCTGGGAAATGGTGGATCCATGTGGCATGGTTGGTCCCCGTGAAATGGTGGATCCACGTGGCTGGGTCTGTCCCCATTAAATGGTGGATTAATGTGTTAGGGTCGGTCCCCATGAAGTGGCAGACCCATATAGCAGGGCTCGTCCCTGTGAAATGGAGGATCCACGTGTCAGGGTCGGTCCCTGTGAAATGGTGGATCCACATGGCACGGTTGGTCCCCGTGAAATGGGGGATCCACGTGGTGGGGCTGGTCCTTGTGAAATGGTGGATTCATGTGGTGAGGCTGGTTCCTGTGAAATGGAGGATCCACGTGTCAGGGTCGGTCCCTGTGAAATGGAGGATCCATGTGGCAGGGTTGGTCCCTGTGAAATGGTGGATCCACATGGTGGGGCTGGTCCCCGGGAAAAGGTGGATCCACATGGTGGGGCTGGTTCCCATGAAATGGCAGATCCACATGGTGGGGCTGGTCCCTGTTAAATGGCAGATCCATGTGGCGGGACTGGTCCCTGTGAAACGGCGTATCCATGTGGCGGGGCTGGTCCTTGTGAAATGGTGGACTCGTGTCAGGGTCGGTCCCCATGAAATGGCGGATCCATGTGGTGGGGCTGGTCCTCATGAAATGGTGGATCCACGTGGCATAGCTGGTACCTGTGAAATGGTGGATCCACATGGCATGGTTGGTTCCTATGAAATGGTGGATCCATGTGGCAGGGTCCGTCCCCATTAAATGGTGGACTCGTGTCAGGGTCGGTCCCCATGAAATGGCCGATCCACGTGGCAGGGCTGGTCCCCTTGAAATGGCAGAATCACATGGCGTAGCTGGTTCCCATGAAATGGYGGATCCACRTGGCAGGGCTGGTCCYTGTGAAATGGTGGATCCACTGGTGGGGCTGGTTTTGCTGAAATGATATAATCTCACAATATGACAGAACAGCTGTCACAGAGAACTAGAATTATAGAGTTGGAGCAATTAAAGAAAGATGAAAAAATTCCTATTCCCCCCTTCAAACTCCATATCAAATGTTAATGCAAATATTTCTGTGTTTCCCTTGTGAGAGGTGYCTATGGAGCAGGGAGCTCCAAGAGGCGTAKGATTTRTGAAT